CTCCAACCGCCACGGCCTGATCCGGAAGTACGGCCTCAACATGTGCCACCAGTGCTTCCGCCAGTATGCGAAGGACATCGGCTTCATTAAGTTGGACTAAGGGAACTTCCGTGAATGGGTCATTGAAGACATCTATCTACCTTACGACAATGCTATCTCTTTGTACATAAAATAAAAAAAACACAACACTTCAAAAAAAGAAAAAAAGAAAAATAGATACTCACAGAGGTCAATGACTCGCCCAAGGTCATACAGCAAATCGGGAGAGAAGATGGACTCAAGGGTCTGAATTGGCTCCTGTAAGACCATGCACCCACCCCTGGACCCGTCCCACTGAGGTCAGGGAAGGGGCCTCGGTCACAGGCTGTGTCTGGAGCTGCAGGCAGAGTCAGCTCCATCAGAACGACATGCTCTTAAAGGGAGAGAAGTTTGTTTCCCCATGAAAACAAGTAGAAATCAGGTTGCTGTCGGGGCAGAAGCAGCTCAACCTGCAGACCATACTCCACAGGGAAGGGCGTGGTGGGTGCCCGGACCAGAGGGAGCCTGATCACAGGTGAGGGCACAGGTTCTGGAGGGAGCACAGGCTCCCTCCGCGGGGGTGTGAGGAGAGGCAGCCTGGCCTGGCCTGTGCCCTGCACGCGCCTCGCACGATGCCTGATGGACAGCCCACCTCTGAGTGGCATGCAGGTGGCCTGTTGTAAGTCAGCTGGCATGGAACAGAACAGGTGTGGGTTGGGAAATGTCTTGGGCTGGGAGGACTCCGTCAGGGGGTATTTGTCCTTCTTTCCTTTGAAGCTGAAGTTCTGGGAGAGGGTGCAGGAAGAGGGTGTTCAGGAGATGGGCATATGATTCCTGTTAGACTTCCAGCCAGACCTCGTCCCCGTCGGCCACAGGAACCAGAGGCAGAGGTTGGGTCATTGAGCCAGGAACCAAGAAATGAGGTGGGTCCCAGCAGCACCCACCCATGCCCCTCACTCTGCCTCACTTAGCCAAGGCCACTGGGCTCCACAGCCATGGGTTCTGGGCAGCAGGGTCCGGGGTGAGGCCAGGGATCACAGGACCTTCCGCAGGGATGTGCCTGCTTGGGTTGGAAGGGCGGGTGAGACTAGCAATGCCCCTTCATGACGTGCTGACTCTTCTCTCAGCAATGCCCTGGAGAGACCGCCGCTGAGCCGGAGGTGAACCCAGGATCCACTTCACGCTTATAAATTTGTCCTGGGACCATAGAGGAGATGCGGAGTGTGAGTCTGAGCAAGCCTCTCTCCTCAACGTCTACCTCCCAGGACATGCAACAAGGCCAGGAAGGCTCTGTCCCCAAGACTCAAATTGGGGTTCCCTAGGCACCAGGGCCCCTCACCAAAGTGCAAGCTCTGTGGACATCTGTGTTCTTCTGTCCCTCCAACCTCCTAGGGCCATTTATCATGCATTCACATGTTTGCTCATTACCTCATTCATCCAACATGTATTTGCTGAGCGCTTAACTATCTGCCAGCCACTGGGAACCAGGCGGTGAGTAAATACACAAGGCCGCTGCTTTTATGGAGTTTACATTCTAGTGGCAGTTGCAAATCGGGGAACCAGACAAGAAATTTATTCATGAATTCATCTATTTACTTGACATTATGGGCTATGTGGGGAAGCACTGCACAGTGTCTGAGGGAGCCAGGCTACTCTGGGCGCAGGGTCAGGCAGGTAATTTGTGAGCTGGGAAGGAGCCGGCCATATGACAAGCCATCTTGTTGCTTCTGCTTTGCTCCCATGGCTCCTTGCCTCCTAACCTTCTCCCTGGGCTGGTTCCAGGGTGAACAGCTGCCCCCTGTGAGCCTGTGCAAACGGCACTGACTCTCCGGACAGCACTGTCCCCGGCGGTTCCCGCTCACAGTGGCTGCTCCTTCTCCACACCCCTGCACGCTGAGTCAGGGGAGGGGTGTTGGAGCTCTATTCCTAGGACTATTTCCATGGCATTTAACACCCCCACTCCTTTGAGACTTGAATTTCACCGCATTCCCCCCCTCATGCTGCTATTCATCTGCTTCCCAGACCCCCACACCATTCATTGGAGCCTCTGGGTTCCGCCCACTGTCCTCATTTCCAGCCAGTGCTGGCAGTCACCCCTGCAGGTGTGCTCTGGCTTAAGAGTGCTTTGACCTTGGTTCTTTCAAGTTTCACCTCCACCCATTTCAGTCCTTTTCACAGATACAGCCTCAGCCCACAAGGCTCCATCTCAAAGTCTTAAAGTTCTACATTTCAGTCAAAACTGAGTAAAGCCAGGTTTCCCCAAGCCCCATGGTCAGCAAATTGTGGCTTGTGAGCCACATGCAGCTCTTTGGCCCCTTGAGTGTGGCTCTTCCACAAAATACCACGGCCTGGGCGAATCTATTTTGAAGAAGAGGCATTATAAGAAGTTTAAGCTTAAAAGTTTTGGCTCTCAAAAGAAATTTCAATAGTTGTACTGTTGATATTTGGCTCTGTTGACTAATGAGTTTGCAGACCACTGCCCAAGCCCATTTCTCAGCATAGTGCCACGAGTAAAAGGAATACTACTCCTCTCCAGAGAGCACAATTACTGCAGTCCTTACTCAAGGGGTCTCGAGACAGTGGTGGAGGGGCAGGTACATCATGCAATAGACCTCTGTCCATCCCTCTCCCCAAAGCCCCACATGTTATGGCAGTTCCTGTCTCTTGTTCTTCTATCCCGCTCACACCTCCAGTACACTTACCATACTTCTCCTGTTTTACTCACCCTCTCCCGTCTTTAAAAAAAAAATTATATATATATATGTATATATATATATATATATATATATATATATATATATGAAATTGATTTCAGAGAGGAAGGGAGAGGGAGAGAGAGATAGAAACATCAGTGATGAGAGAATCATTGATTGGCTACCTCCTGCATGCCCTCTACTGGGGGTGTGTGGAATTGAGCCCACAACTGGAGCAAGCGCCCTGACTGGGAACTGAACCGTGACCTCTTGGTTCATAGGTCGATGCTCAACCACTGAGCCATGCTGGTTGGGCCCCTTCCCGTCTTTGCCTCCTCTTCCCAACTTCTTTTTCTTCTCTGCCTCAAATCCAATCTGTGTCTTTTAAATATACCCTTGAGCCTCGACCACTTCTGGCTCTTTACCATTCCTCTCAAGCCAATTCAATCCAAATCTCCAAGGCGCCACTTGACCCTTCACCTGGAGAAAACCACCCGGTCTGACGCTGGTGCCTGGCAAGTCCGGGGACCGGTGTTACACCCTCATGTCTACTCAGCCCTCCTTCTACTGTGTGAGGCCAGTCCCCTCTCCTGTCCCCTCAACACACACCCAGTGTGCCTGAGCCAGGCCGTGTCAGGGACAAATAAGGTTTCTTCCGTCTTGTTTTGGTGTGTTTATTTAATTTGAACTGGGCTTCTTCCACATGGAATAAAGACTCCTGGCAAATAGAGTTAATGACCCCAAGGTCAGAGGAAGTCCTGGGGGGAGAGGAAAAACAGCCTCTTCTGAAGGGACAGGACTGTGGCAGGAGCTGGCGATTCGCCTTGGGGTTTGCTCTGTAAATTCTGAGCATAAGTATGGTTGTTGGGAAGTACAGGCTGATCTCTTAGAGAATATTCTGGAAGACAATTGATGAGAGTAGCACTTCCTGTCTTTGCTCCACATCCTCCTTAGGCAAACAGAAGTGCCTGCAGTTTGAAATGGACAATCAGACACCGCTAACAGCTGCAGCCCGAAACTTCGGTTCTTGGCAAAAGGATCCTGACACAAAAGTATTTCTTTGTGGAAAATTATGTATTCATCGGGCTCATTTGAAGCGAAATATGATTTGCATCTTAACTTCCTGTAACAAGCTCCACTTCTGAGGATTTCATAATGTCTGATTTTGTTGCACCAGATTGGTGGGGCACATGCTTTACCAAAAACAGTTTAAATTCAGGCCCAGGTTTTTCTTATTTTAAATAGCAGCAGCTGCTAGGCATGGTAATTATTGTATTTTATCAAAATAAAGTCACCAAGTTGCTTCTGCATGCTCCTCGGAGCTGCTCTGCCGGGGGCTGGGGTCCTCAGGGCTGTTTAAGACACACGGCAGCGAGTCTCCAGGGCCCGAGGTGGGATTACAGGGTGAAGGCTGAGAAATTCCAAGGACAGAGTCAGGAAACAGTCCTGCTGGAGGCAGATCCACTAACATACTCCCCTCGAATACTTTCTCTTGCAGTGCCCAGCAGTTCCAGATCTCGGGAAGACTCAGAGGCTACGGGAGGGAAGGAACTAAACACCAGGAATCAACTATGTTCCGTGCTCTGCTAGGGGAATCCCATGGGTTACAGTGGCAGCCGTGTGATTGGTTCCTTTACGGAGAATTCAGATCATGCCATTCAGCTTACAATCCTCTTCCAGTGGCTTCTCATTCCTGTGGTCTCAACATTGGCTACCCATTAGAATCCCCGGAGAGCCTAAAAACAAACTAACAAACAAACAAACAAACAACAAACAAACCCAACTGCCCGGCTTGCAGCCCAGCCCGATTATATCAGAACTGGTGGGGGTGGGGTCCAGACGTCAGTGTTTGTTTAAAGATCCTCGATGACTCCAATGTGCAGTCAATTTAGGAGCCATGACCTTAAATGCAAATTTTTGGCCACAGCTGGGGCGGCCCTGACTGATCTCAGACCATCTTCAAACACTCGCCCTGTCTGAACTCAGGTTAAGTTCTGATCTTTCATTCTTTGGTCTGCTTTCCACCACGGGACCATCCAACGTCCCCGTCCCAGAGGAACCCCTGCAGTCTAACCTCTGCCCACCTTGCCACTTCCTCCTGGACCCTGTCCTTCTCTCCCACAAGCCTTCCGCTTTCTGTTGGTCCTTACATACCTCCTTCCTTCCAGAACCTCTGCTCCTGCAGTTTCCTCTGCCTCCTTCTGGTAACATATTCTTTTCCCGGGCCCTCCCACACCCAGCTCACCATTCAGGCCCGAGGAGACACCTTCTGTGACAAGCCATCTCTGTTGCCATCTCATTACTGTGCTGTTTCCAGTGTAGCAGGCCCCGCCTGAAGTCATCTTGTTTGTCTACTTCAGAGGTGTCTACTTTTTCTGCCAAGGGCCATTTGGATATTTATAACATCGTTCAAGAGCTATAAAGAATTATCGACTTAAAAATGAGCCTGCTGTATTTGGTCACACATTTCATTACCTCAACCATAATGCCTTGGCAGGGTCAGACCACATATGCGGCTCGTGGGCCGGATGACCTCCAGCCCTGGTCTACTTGCTCTTCGCCTCCCTGGGAGAAGGTAAGGTCTGTGAGGTCTGAGACCTCCTCACTATTCTTCAGTGCAGCTCCCAGAGGGCTGGCCGGGAGCACTTGTTCAGTGAGTATCTAATGAGTGCTTGGTAGGTCATGTGACACATATTGGTTAAATGAATGAATGAATGACCTCATTTGATCCTTCAGACAAGAGGCAGTGTTAGCACTGACTTGCAGATAGATAATTCACCAGGGTCAGAGGTTAAGTCATTTTATTAAAGGAGGAGTAGGATGTTGGGGGAGAAGGGACAGCAGACATGTTTGATTTTGATTATGGATTTTTGGTAACTCTAGAACCGGCAAGTCCTTCATGAATTGGTGAGGACCTATAATTAGGTGTTAATTGTGGGGTCCAGATCTGGCTTTCTGACCTTCAAGAGGGTGATGGGAGGGCAATCATAATCACTTGAAAACCAGGGAGAACCTCATTGTTTTGGGGTGCCGTGCTCTCAGCATGTCTGCAGGAGCGAGGCTGGGGAGTGGAGAAGTTCTCCCCACCTCAGGGACTTCCCTGCTGTTGACTCATAGCAACTGTCATCTGGTCTCTACAGAGCTCTGCACGCCACACCGAAACCAGAACGGCATGAGTCACAGTGACAGTCCCACAGTCAGCCAGCCAGCCAGCCGGCGTAGCAGGGCAGAAGGCAATGTGGCTCTGGCTTCCTCGGTGCAGCTGGCTTCCTGTGCACGATTGATCTGGAGCCTTTGTCAATATGGAAATCAAGGGCACCCTGGTTCTCAGCTTTGCATCTGGGTGTAAAAATAACAACAACAGTAGGTAGTCTGCTTGGGCTGCTCTAACAAAATGACACATATAGGTGGCTTCAGCAGAAACATCTCCTCACAGTTCTGAAGGCAGGTGGTCCAAAGTCAAGTTGTGAGCACCTTTGGGTTGTGCATGGCCATTCCTGTGTGTGTCCCCAAATTCCCTGTCCTTATAAGGAGACCAGCGGGTTGGATCAGGGCCCACCCTAGCAGCCTCATTCTAACTGAATCACCACTTTAGAGGCCCTATCTCCAAATACAGTCGCTTTCTGAGGTCCTTTATCATTCGAATTTGGGGGGACACATTTCAGCTCATAACAGGTAACATTTATTGAATGCTTATTGCACGTTAGCCTCATGGCAAGTTATTTTACAAACATCACCTCACATACTTTCTCCAAATGCACTTAAGACCGGAACCCCAGTTTGAAACTAGCCTACAAAACCCTGAAGGGCAGTGAGTTAGGAACACTCGTAGGGAGCAACAGGGTTTGGCAGCTTGAGGTGGAAGAGTAGAGCCTCACTCCACAGTTGAAGCCTAAGGGTTGAGGACTTTACATCTGAATTACCTTGAACTTGAAGGGCCAGCATCACAGCAAGGACTGCAGCTTCTCTTCCTGTAGCTGACTTCAGCTCCTCCTGGCCTGCGGCAGAAGGAGGTGACAGCTCTTCCAATTAACAGAGCTGTCCTGCGAGGGGCTTTCTCTGGCCTTGTCTGGGGTCCCAGACAGAAACAGAGAGAGCTGGCTCATTTCCCTGCCGGAGGAGCAGGGAGTGTGATTCACTGAAGGGCTTTGAGCTGAGCTCACTCTTGACAGAATCCCTCTTCTCTCTGGGTCCAGATGTCTTCCCTGTCAACCAAGCTCCCCTGGGAGGCATGTCCGTTGCTTCTGGCTTTTTTTCCCCTTTTCCCCGTGTGTTTGTTTAGCTTCTAAAAAGGGATTTATTGCAGGAGCCTCTGGGCACACATTCAAAACACCCAAATCACAAGGAGAAAGCTATCCAGACTCACATGGTGCCCATCCATGCAGAGTTGCCTCCACCTGTACTGAGGAGGGCTGTTCCCAAACCTGAAGGTCGGTGTTGTTGTCTGAGCAGTGGAGGCCTCAGGGCATCTCCTGAGGCCTCAGTGAGACGGGCTCAGAGGAACAGCCTTGGGGATGTGCACACCAGTGATGATTATAACAGGATGGTCCCAGGGAGGTTAACCCATCCCACATCCCTTGGTATTGCTCATGCTGAGCCTTCGGCTTCCTTGCAGTCCCTCCCCTGTGCCAAAATCTGACAACTGTTTCTCAGTCTAAACTTGAGAAATCATCTGCTTTTATGAAGCATTGCTCCACTCTCAGAATTGACTCCTTTCTCCTCTGCACTGGTAGCTCCATGTACACACCGTTTAATCACTCGCTTAATAAAGGTTTTGTTCCCCAATTACTGGGTGCTGACCTCCTGTTCAGCCATGGAGAAGCAGTGGTGAGCACATGGTGAGGCACTTACTTTCTAGGCCAAGAAAACTCCCATCTGAGTATTTACCATTCCCCACTAGGCTCTGAGCTGTATTATCATCATAGTAGCCATCCTCCTCTCCCTCTTCCTCTTATTCTTTTTAAAAATATATATATATTTTATTGACTTTTCACAGAGAGGAAGAGAGAGGGACAGAGAGTCAGAAACATCGATGTGAGAGAATCCTCGATCAGCTGCCTTCTGCATACCCCCACTGGGGATGTGCCCACAACCAAGGAACATGCCCTTGACCGGAATCGAGCCCGGGACCTTTCAGTCCACAGGCCGACGCTCTATCCACTGAGCCAAACCGGTTTTGTTCACATGGTGCCCATCCTCCTATTCTTTTTTTTTTTTTTTTAAATATATTTTATTGATTTTGTACAGAGAGGAAGGGAGAGAGACAGAGAGTTAGAAACATCGATGAGAGAGAGTCATCGATCAGCTGCCTCTTGCACACCCCCTACTGGGGATATGCCCGCAACCAAGGTACATGCCCTTGACTGGAATCGAACCCGAGACCTTTCAGTCCACAGGCCGACGCTCTATCCACTGAGCCAAACCGGTTTCGGCCCATCCTCCTATTCTTATCAAACCCCTATCCCTGGCTCCTCGGATACCGCTTACAGTCCACATGGCAGGCACCATGCATTCTACACTCTGTGTACCGCCCCACACAGCCCACAGGACCTAGCACTGTGCCTGCCACATGGTGACACTCGACTCATCTTTGCTGAATTTGGACACATCTGTATTGTCGTATTGGCTAATTCTAAAAGAGCCTGGGCAGATGATGTTCAGAACCCTAAGGGGACCCCAATAGGAATAGCTTTTTCCTGGCTTCCTTACCTCCTATCTCCCAAACACATTCAAACACACACACAGGTCTGACTAGAGAAACAGGAATGACTTCCAGTACTTATGATGGAGGAAATTTACACAGGAACTTGGTTGAACGGGTGATGGAAGAGATGGCGGTAGGTGTGGTAGAGTTCAAAGATGGCCACTAAGTCCCCTCTCATCAAGGCATGGAGTCTACTTCTTGACCTCTTGAATCTGGGTAGATCTTCTGATGTCATTGAGTCCCAAGCTTGAGCCTCAAGAGGTTTTCCCATTTGCTTTCTCTTTCTTGGAACCAGCTGCCAACGGAATGCGCCTGCGCTAGACTGTTGTCGGATGTGAGAGACACATGGAGCCACCGCTGCCCCAGATGACAGCCAGCCAACTTCCAAAGCGGAGCTCCCTGATGACTTGGCAGCTGATCTTAGATGCATGAGCGTGCCCGCCGGGACCCGCAGAAGAATTGCCCAGCTGGTCCCAGTCTAAATTGCTACCTCTTGAATTGTGAGCTACAAATAAATGGTCGTTGTATTAAGCCATTAAGTTTTGGGTAGTTTGTTTCACAACAAAAGAGAACCGATTCATGAAGTGACCCAGAGGTTAGCAACAGCAGGAAGTCACTGCCATCTGAGGTGCAGACACAGAGGCAGGAGGCACTGTAACGGGCCCAGTGCAATCAGAGCACTCAAAAACTGAGGAATAGGACGTAGGGGTCCCATAGAGGCTTAGAGGCACAGAGGAGCTGGAGGAGAGGCAGTTGATGGAAGCAGAGAGGGGGAGAGGCACCCTGGCTTCTCCCTTTTGTCTGCCCCCCAGGTCCCTCCTGGGCTTGCCATCAGCTGAAACAAGAGCCTGAGATGCAGCTTCAGGAGTTGGCATTGAGCAGCGCAGGCCAGAGCCAGGCAGGTCCGGGACTGGACTCGAGAGCAGGCAGAAGCAGCAGCACACAGCCTTTAGGAAACAAAAAAAGTGGAATTAAGGATTGAGCTTTCGAAACAGCACAGCTGCATCCCCATATTCATACTTGTTCCCTATTAGGAATTGAACTTAGGCTGAAAAATGAATTCTTGATGTTGGAAGGCGATGATTGCAAGTGTCTCAACTTTTGACAAAACAGTCAATCAAACTATTAGCCTATTTATAAGACTTTGCACCCACATTAGCTTATCAAAAACACAAATCATCAAAACATAGCCAGAATGATGCTATTGTTAGGTCAAAAACACAGAAGTTATAACACACTAATTTCATTTTAATTCATTCAGCAAGCATTACCAGTGAAAACTTCTTATATGCCAGCTGAGCACAATGAAGGCTGACACCACAGACGCGCACACACATATACCCACAAATAATTTATTAAAGTACAAAAGTTGTCATTGAGGTACAATCAGAGTGGGGTGGGTCATTGTTCAGTTGGGTTTTGAAGAATTAGTAGGAATTCACAAGGTGGGGGTGGGGAGTGGACTGAAGAATAGCTTTTCGGGGGAGTGTGCAAATTCAGAGATAAGACACAGATGCCATATTTAAGAAACTAGAAGTACTATAGCTCAATGTGGCCAAAGCACTGTGTATGGAGAAATGTGGAGACAGATGAAGCCATAGAAGTGGCAGGGGCTAGACCACGCTGGCTTATATGTCACATTGAGGAACTTGCCACTTATAGCCAATTGGGACACACCAACATTTTTTATTTTACAAAGTTTATATATATTTTATTTATTTATTTATTTATTTATTTATTTATTTATTTATTTTTAGAGAAAGGAAGGGAGAAAGGTGGAAAGAAAGAGAGAGAGAAAGGAGAGAGAGAGAGAGAGAGAGAGAGAGAAAGAGAGAGAGAGAGAGAGAGAGAGAGGTCAATGCAAGAGAGAAATATTGATTGGTTGCCTCTCATACTGACCCTTGACCGGGATCAAACCCGAAACCTGGGTATGTGGCCTGACTGGAAATCAAATTGCCACCTTTTAGCTGACTCTCCAACCAACCAGGCCACACTGCGAGGGTTATATAGGATTTTAAAGAATTAAAATAATACATGTTTATTTTCAGGAGCTAAAAATGATATAAAAGGACAGAAATAGTCATGATTTCTGCCTCTTCTATCTTGCAGGTAGCCAGGGAGAGGAATTAGAAGGGTGTCCTGACATACCCTGTTCGTCTTCAGGGTTGGCTGGCTTGCTCATTTGCTCTGGCTTCGATTACAAAAGCTGCTATAATATGCCTATCACTCTGCAACTTGCTTCTCCCCCTAACAGTATGTGGACATCCCTTCAGATAAGTTAGATTTAACTGTTTATTTATCCAACCATTCTCCTACTGGTTGGGCATTCAAATAGTCTGTTTTTAGAAATTACAAAAATATTGTGGCATGTCTCCTTGGGGATGAGTCTGGGTACATTGGGGCGTTCATTTCAGTAAAATAGATTCCCAGAGGGAAGATATCTGAGTCAAAAACGTTTGCTTTTAAAAAAATTTTAATGGTGTGTCCAGATTACTTTTCTAATAAGTTGTAGCAATTCCTATGTCTCACCACTGTCAGCCAGAATTGAACATTATCACTGTTTTCTTTGAAAATGTTGGTAAATATAATGGGTGAAAAAAAGACTGTACTGGTTTAATTTGCATTTTCTTGGCTTCTACCAACACTGAGCATCTTAGCATATGTTTATTGACAATTTGCATGTTCCTTCGTGTGAATTGCCTGCTCATTTTTCTGTTCAGTTGCCTTGTTGTTATTAATTAGTAAAACATCTTTGAATATTAGTAATTATTAATTGTTACCCATATCTTTGCAAAGGTTCTGTTGGGACATGGAAACTTCCCCCTCTCGGTTCTTCTGGCTGGTGGAATAAACAATTACAGATAAACAGAAGAAATTCAAGTTTTAATATGATTAAAACAGGGAATTCATATAAGCATGAAAATTTCGGACAGAGAGGCAAAATTATATCTTTAATAATAAAAGCATAACAACGCCGAAGCCGGTTTGGCTCAGTGGTAGAACGTTGGTCTGCAGACTGAAAAGTCCTAGGTTCGATTCCAGGCAAGGGCATGTACATTGGTTGCGGGCACATCCCCAGTAGGGGGTGTGCAAGAGACAGCTGGTCAATGTTTCTCTCTTATCGATATTTCTAGCTCTCTATCTCTCTCCCTTCCTCTCTGTAAAAAATCTATAAAATACATTTAAAAAAATTTAAAAAATAAAAGCATAACATGCTAATTAGACTGGACAACCTTCCAGACGAAGCTGGGGCTGCAAGGGAAGCCTGGGTCCTGGGTGCCAGAGGGAAGCGAGTGTCAGCAGCCGAGGGAAGGAAGGCCTAATCTTGTACGAATTTCATGCATTGGGCCTCTAGTATCCTACCTAATAAAAGAGTAATATGCAAATTAACCATCACTCTGCTCCACAAGCCACGCTCACCAGCCAAACAGAGCGAGTATGCAAATAAACCCAACCAAGATGGCTACAGCCACAGAGAACAGGAGAGAGGCATTTCCCTGGCAATGGAGGAAGCCAAGCTTTCTGCCTGCCCTTGCCAGCCTAAGCCTCCACTCAAGGCTACAAAGTTTAATTATAGAAGGTAAACAAATTCCAACAGAAATGGCTGCCGCTATGGAGCAAGCAGGAGGCTCTGCTCTGCTCCAGGCTACAAAGTTTCAACTGTAGAAAGTAAATATGTCCCAGATACCAGGACCTCTGCTTGGGTCATCAGGGTCATGGCCGGCCTACAAACGACCACAGGCCCCTCGTTCAGGCTGCCTCATGCCCCAAGGAAACCGCCCCCTTGATCTGGGACACCCTTCAGGGAAAACCAGCTGGCCCCCACCCATGCACCAGGCCTCTATCCTATCTAATACAAGAGTAATATGCAGATTGACCATTACTCCAACACACAAGATGGCTGCCCTCATGTAGTCAAAGATCCTGCCCCTATGTGGACACAAGATGGCTGGCAGGGGAGGGCAATTGGGAGGGACCAGGCCTGCAAGGGAGGGCAGTTGTGGGTGATCAGGCAAGTAGGGGAAGGCAGTTGGGAGGCACTGGGCCTTTAGTATGCATATAAGACCTTGGGTTAATCTCTTCTCACCCTCCCCTGTCCCCACTTCACTCTAGATTCATCAATCTGTCCCATGTTTCCATGTCTGTGGTTTCTGCTCCTGCATTGAAAGTCTGCCCCCTAGTGGTCAGTGCATATCATAGCTACTGGCAGCCACTCAGCCAGTCAGCAGGTCACTTAGGCTTTTATACATAAACTAGAGGCCTGGTGCATGAAAATTCATGCACTGGAGGGGAGGTCCCTCAGCCCAGCCTGTCCCCTCTCACAGACTGGGAGCCCTCAGGGGCAGGAGGCAACCTGGTGATCAGAGGAAGGCGATACCCCCATCACACCTCTGCTGCTGCCACTGCTGGCAGTGTAAGCCTAGGCTGGCCCTGGTTAACTAAGCCTTGGGTGGCCCTGGGCGGCTGGGGGGCTGAGGGGACTAGGGGACTCCGGAGGCAGGCACATGGAGCAGCCAGACCTGCCTGGATGCGGGCTTGGCTGTGCCACGTCTGCCACCCCAGCAGGGCTGAGAGCACTGGGCCCCACCATCTTGTGGCCGTGGGCAGAGTCATATTTGAGGGCGTGGTAGTCAATTAGTATATTCCCTCCTTATTGGCTGTGGGTGCCACCATCTTTGTGAGGGCATAATGGCCAATTAGCATATCCCCTCTTTGTTAGATAGGATAGACAATTAGAGGCTAATGGAATTTGTGAAAATGGTACAGAGTCCCGTGTAGATTTCACCCAGCTTTTCCCAAGGGAGCATCTAGCATAACTAGCACAACCAAAACCTCATTTGTCTTTGGATGTAGTTTCTGGTGAATTTACAAAGAACATATGGTGAATTTAATATCTGGCAAGATGAGTCCTACCACTCCATACTTTTTCATTATGGTGACGATTCTAATTTTTTTCATTTAAAGTTTCAAATATTTTTAGCCACTTATTCCCCTGTCTTTCCCCCTAAAGAGCTCTCCTGGAATTCTGATTGCAACTCACTTAAAGTTTTATATTAGTTTGTTAATGACTGGCGTTTCCAGATATGTGGTTTTCCTGTCCAGGAATACATTTCTCTCATGTTATGCTATGGGTCTCATGTTATGCCCTTCCATGAGAATTTGGTTCTCTTCATGCAGCCCATGTGCCCTCTATGAATCATGTATTCATAGGTGTCTCACCGTTTTTGTCATAATAAATGATGCATTAATTTCCTATTACTGCTATAACAAATTACCACGGGTCCAGTGGTTTAAAAAGAACAGAAATTTGTTACAGTTCCGGAGGTCAGAAGTCATGACCCACGGCTGAGCTCCTTCTGGAGGCTGAGGGAGACAGTCCCTTTTGCTGCCGAGCGGGGCCACCTGTGGTCCTTGGCTCCTGGCTCCTTTCTTGAATCATTCCTGCCTCAGCTTGTAATCTTCTAACCTGACTCTCCTCCCTCCCATCGGATCCCGATCACACTGGGCTCCCCTCATCACCGGGCCTTTAA